TGCTTCGGCAGTGATTATAACTCATCAAAATTGTGTTGGAATTCCATCACTTCTACTTTTATTGATTAGAATTGGCTTATAGGTGCTCCGGGGCCAGCATTGTCTCAAGCCTAGCATATTTTGGTATATATCCTGCCGCCCAGCCTGTTGTTATAGCGCCTTGGTCATGACAACCAGCATGCGCGTCTCTAACGGTACGAACAAAAGGTCGTTTGTAATTGGCCCAGCGCGCAACAGTCTGTTACCGAACAGTTGGTTGGTTGACGCCTTTGAACCACTGCGTCACATGCATCATGTGGCACTCCCATTCGCAACGGTTAAGTGCGCCTCGAAAACAGCCACTGCGATGAACACTTTGGGGGAGAATTCGAAGTCATGGCATGACGTGTCATTGAACTCGCGGCATTATTGCGTCATGTCCGTGTATGTTTTATCTAAACAGATGGTTTTAACCCCTCGTAGCATTTATTTTACAAACATTTTGACACATTAGTGTGTTGTAGACATTACAGAACATACACTTTAGAAAAAATAAACCAAGTGAAATGTATTGCTGCCATATTGGCGAGGATGGAGTCAAATAAGATTTCTTCCGCAGAGTCGACCACTTACAATCGAAATTTTGAGCCGTTTAGAAGGATTTCGAGAAAACTGGTTTGACTGATCAAATCGTATGCGCCTGATGTAACAAGAGGTGAAAAGTGCCAAAAAATGTGGGATACTCCCTTTAGCACACTAGGTCACAAATAGCACCAATGGAAAAATACTTTAGGATTACCTGAAAAACATTACCTTTTTCCTCAATGAAAATTGATTAGCGTTTGATTTCACCATCTTCAAAATATTAACGCCAAAATGTTTGGTGCAAACAGAGGTTAAAGTTCACATGGATGCATCGCTGGCTTCGCGGGTTTCATGAACAGCTCTCCTGATTTTGGCTGCAATGTCTTGTATCCTAGACCACGCTGTTTTTGGAAAGACGATAAAGGCCACTTCCCGGTCGGTTACTGGGTCGTTATAAATTTACAACAACAACAACAAAAAAAACAGTGAACCGACTGGATTATTAGCGGACCACACGTGCACCGTCATGTTTTTGTTACCGGTTTCACGTCTTTATCTGCTCTGGTTGCCATGACCTAGGATTCAAAAAAGCTCATCAGTTTCATGCCTTTATATGATTGGATGCATGATCTGCTGTTCAAAATTTGTGGAACTGTGGTTTCTATTCACGTGCACATCACAGATTCAAGGCAGTCTTGCGCAGTCTTGCCTGCGGGATTCGCGTCTCTTGTCTTAGAAAAATCGCGTCGACATCGCATCGCTACAGCCTCTGTTATTCTTTACCTGGGCTCAGATTTTATTCGTGCTCGAAAATGTGTTTTCACAATGCGCGAATTCTACGTTTCTTATGGCAGTCGGGCTAGGGCGTTTAGCTTCGGTCGAACTGCATGCTGCATGAATACATCGCTCAATTTATTCTTGCCCTGATTCACCGGTTTTCATAACGCGGACTGATATAGGCGATGCTACCGCCTGTCGTTTCCAAACCAATAAATGTAGAACTTAGCAGGAAGCCCCAGGGAATTTGTGTCAACGAGATCTCGCGGTTGGCACTAGTTTTCATGTTGTTAGTTTCAATAGTGGCCCCATTGTGGCAGCTCAAAGGTCGAATTTCCCTGAACATGCACTTTTCTGCTTTACATCATACCTACTAGGCCATTCCTTGTGGCGACATGAAATTTGAATAGGTGTGTGTCTTGTTCATTTCTTAGAACAACACTATACATCTTTAAGTATTTTGAGCATTCGCTTATGATGTATGATTTCGTCCATATAGCAATGTTAGCTCGCCGTGCGCGTATCGTGGCTTCGTCTGTTGCGGCCGGTCGCCCACGCCGGTCGCAGAACGCTGTGTGGTGTTTTTAAAAACCACCGCTACTCAGAAACCGAAAAAGCTAGGAACACGTTTTTGGTGTCCAAACATGCGCAATGGATACTCTATAAGCTGCTGATAATTGGGCGCAATTGCACGATGTGCCGGAGACGTATACACAAAAATTTTAGGGAGTTGCGTCACCCTACCCATCATGGTAAAGATTTAGTAGCTCGAAAACTGACATGAAACTGCGCACGCTAATTTGCGATATTCGTTGCCGAAAATTGCAAAAGTCTACAGCTTTCAATGGAAAATATGTTATCCTACCGAAATTTCGATAGTCAGACCGGGCAAGATTTGGTGGGCAGAACTGACGGTTTTCCATAAGAACAAGTAAAAAGTCATTAGTACATTGCCTTAACTGTAATTATTTTATGGCTTTGTGTGGAAAGAGTGGACCTAAAACACCCTGCGTCATCTCTTTCCACCACCTGCCGGCGACGCCCATATTGTGTTGAAAGAAACCAAGGCGTTGGCGTTGACTAAGGCTTTGAAAATTACCACTATAGTGGTCAGTTCCATTTTTTGGTGAGATTATAATCTCATCGAGCTTACAGGGTACCAGGTTAGGGTGGTACATAGAAACTGGGGATGGTTATGATAAATATTTTCCGTCTATATCGAATTCTTGTAAAATGTCGTTTAGTAACGAGTGAATTGAACATAGCCCGCGAACCACACTAAAAGAAATAAAGGACGTTGCAGAAAACTGAGCATCAAGTAAAATAACTCTTCATAGCGAGGAAATACCCCAGTTCCGTGCTGGTCATAGAAGTCTCACTCATTCCGATATCTTAGACCGCAACCCAGGCCAAAAAGATGATGACTGCCAGTGTGTGTGTGTGTGTGTGTGTGTGTGTGTGTGTGTGTGTGTGTGTGTGTGTGTGTGTGTGCGTGTGTGTGTGTGTGTGTGTGTGTGTGTGTGTGTGTGTGTGTGTGTGTGTGTGTGTGTGTGTGTGTGTGTGTGTGTGTGTGTGTGTGTGTGTGTGTGTGTGTGTGTGTGTGTGTGTGTGTGTGTGTGTGTTGATTCTACCTGATATACTCGTGGACTGCTCAAAATATATGAGACATAACAGCAAAAAGAGCCTTTATGCCAGGCTCATGGGGCACCTCTTAATGTAGAAACGCTAATAGAAGACGGCTGCGCTGGCATCATGAAGTGGCGAGAATTTTTTTGACGGAATGCAACTTCTAAAAAATAATATGCCTTGCCGGCTTGCCAGCAATGCTTCCTGGCTGTGTACGGACTAAGGTGTTAAATGTTTTAAATAAAGTCCCGTTACAGTGCACAGCGGCACTGTCGTAAGATCATACTCGGGCTTTTGTGGTATGCCTCGCGAAATATGTGTCATGTAGGATTCACAAACCCACGACACCTTCCTGCACCACCGGTGATGTGGGTCAGCCGTGGCCTTGATGTGTTCTGTTGTTGGATGATACCTACATTGCACCTGGAAGTCGATGGGCGTGAAACTGTGCCTTTGAATGGAACGAATTCATGATTTTGATGTTGCCAGCAAGTCTGTTTTTGCGATGAAATTTTGCGTGCAATGCTTGTGTGTGTGTGTGTGTGCGTGTACGTGTGCGTGTGCGTGTGCGCGTGCGTGTGTGTGTGCGCGCGCGTGCGTGTGTACATGTATGTATGTGTTGGCATTTATGAAAGTATGGTGTGAAAGGAACGGGTCAGAATGGATTTCCACTTGTGGTGGTATTGGTACTCCTAGACTTTAAGTTTGTTGCTCCGGTTTGAGCTTAAAGGGCAGTGGGAATCGACACTTTTATGCAATGCATAAAATGCGTAGATTACCCATTCTATGTGCAATGCGTAGATCACTCTTACCCCTACCCCTTACACTTCTGTCTGCAATGCGTAGATTACCCCTTCTATTAGGGGGGGGGGGGGATCGGAAAGGGGTCGAGGGCTGCAGTATGGAGGGAGTCACGGGGACGAGCGGCGGATCCCCGGATAGTTGTGATGGTAATTGTCTGATAAAAAATTAGGCACGCACTGCAGCGATTGTTTGATATCTTTTGTCATGTCTGTCAAGCAGCGATCGTGATTTTTACGCGTCTGTGAAAACGACAAAATATTTTTATCTTCTATGTTGAATGTGTCATGTCGAGTTGTGGTAAAAGCTTGACTTGGAGGGCCACGCTTATAATTTATTTTTGCATCTGAACATGATATTTATTTTCATCTGGCCTAGGATTGGCATGAACAAAACTAACGAATAGCAAATGTAATACAAATGTCGATTGCCTCCTACTCTACACTGAACCTGTGCTCCCCCCACTCATGTTTAGTGCAAGATCCTGTTCGAGGCTGAATCTCTGCAACATATGGAGACGCAAAGTTGCTGGTGTTTCAAGATGGACGCTTGAGCCCAGAAGTCTTTGCACCCTAAATCACAGCAACAAAAGCCTTGTTGCTGCAGCTGCGACGACAGCTGCTGGGGAAATATGCATGGTCTTTGTCTACGGCAGGGCTATAAGATATCTGACTGATAATGAGCGCCTTAAAGGGAACGTTTCGCATTTAAATATGTCAAAACAAGCATCAGATAAAATGGAGCAAGATCACCAATAACTGGTGGTATACTGCTAAGTAGATAAGACTGCTCTAGACAACATAATTTCTCTGTCTAGTAAACATGTTCTTAGATACGCTATTGTTTGATTATGTATCGTACCTTATCGACACTTGATAGGTGGGTAATACAAAATAAACATGAAAAATATCTGTAAGCAAGGAAAATAGCCACTCTACGGCCGCTAGTACCATACCGTGCTAAATCTCTTGATACGTTTTAAAACGAGGGTTTTCATTTCAACTGTATTTGCTCGAAATAACGGTTCGCAACGACAACATTGTCTCTCGTCATATTCACTTCACGCACAACAGATTAATAACTTAAACAAAAAAAAAAACTTAAGACTGTTCTCACAAAGCAGCTTGGTAATAACCCACATCACATGCATGCTGTCTTCGTGCGGGCAGGGGCGACGCACCGGCGGAAGACTCGGTCGCGATCATCGGCGATCTTCGGCGGACGGCTCCGCATTACGATCGGGCCACCTCGCTCCTGATCCAGTCGATGTAGCTGGCGACACGCGTGTACAGGCCCGGGAAGTCACTGTTGCCACAGCTGACGCCTGCCAGCACCAGGCCGGCTAGCTGGTAGCGGCCGTCGGGCCGCTGTATGGCCAGCGGCCCTCCGGAGTCGCCTTGGCACGCGTCCATCCCGCGGTGGTGCGGGTCGGTCGCGCACAGCACGTTGCCACCGAAGCCGCCCGGAAAGCGGAAGCTGTACTGCGGTGTCTGCCGGAAAATCTCCTCGCACTCGTCGGCCGGCTCAACGGACGCGATGGCCTCCTGCAGCACGTTGGCCGCCGTCCTGTCATGGAATCTGAGCACACCCCATCCGACAACCCAGCCGATGCGGCCGACCAGCGTCTCCGCCGGGTCCGGCAGGCAGATGGGCTGCACGCCGGCGCCCAGCTGCACGGGCCGGTCGAGCTCCAGTAGCGCCAGGTCGTTCCGGCTGCGGTTGCGGTCCGGATGACGCGCGGCGCGGCGTACGGCGCGGTCCTGGTGCTCGCCGTCCTCGCTTGTCGTCCGGTCGTGCTCACCGAGCCGAACCACCATTCGCTCTAGATCTATATGCACGCAGTGGGCGGCCGTCAGCACGTGGCGCGGGCCGATGAGCGTTCCGCCGCAGGCCCAGTCCACGGTGCCGTTGGTGTGCTGTCGCGTCCCCAGCAGGGCCACCCACGGCCAGGTGCTGCGCTCGGCCGGCCGGCCGTTGGCGATGTTGAAGAATAAGTTCCTGCCGGTAATTCTGGGGCCACCGCGGCCGCAGTCCTCGGACAGCGCGGCTGTCCGTGGCGAAGGGGCCGACGCCGCCTCGCAGCAGTGTCGAAGCCGGCGGCTACGCCGGTCGTAGCCGCAAGGGCTAGCGCTGGGCGGTCCCAGCTCTGCCTGGCAGTCCTGCGGCAGCATGCAGACGCCGGGCTGGCCGCTGGGTGCCGTGCAGGCGGTGGGGCCCGGGAACAAGATGTCGTCGCCCCGGGACGAGAGCACGGCGGCGGCCCCGGTCGTCGCCAGAGCACAGAGCACGGACAGCAGCATCAGCATGGCTCGGGTCATTCCGACGGACATTGGGAATCTAGGACACGCCGGGGGGCGACTGCTAGTGGTGTCCGCCGGCAGCCGCATTTTATGGACAGCGGGCGGAAGTGTAGCCACACCGCAGGGAAATTATCTGCTTCCACTTCGTCGCGCATGGGCTGTGATGTCAGCGTATCCATTGCGACGGCAGACGAGACCACCGCAACGCGTCTGTGTGTTGCGCAAGGCTGTGGCAACGCACAAGACGAATAACGAATCTATTTCGAGTTACGTGCCGAGGAGCGGATTCATCATGCTTTGTGCGGTGTAATCCAGAGCGAAGAAATACCGGGATGGCGTTAATCTATTTTCCCGAGCAAATCTGACCGTCGTACGGTTTCCAAAACAGCGGGTCTTCTCAATATAACGAGCACTTTATTAAAAGAGACGCTTAACCACAATTTCGCTGCGAACGGGAGACTGATTATTTTCATCATGGAGCTCCAAAGTTATGACGCCGAAATGCCAATAATTTTAGAAAAGAAAGGAATTTTATAAATACAAAGGCTTTTCTTGCTCACATAACTTCAAATGCGAGTCGACGCATTGGTTGCGGTACTTGTTGAAACGGTCAATCTGGTGACTGTACGTTCCCGAGCCTGTACCTGATATGTCCTTCCCAACATCTACACATTCCGTCGGGTTCGCGTTCGCGTCATTCCGCGTCCGACATGCCCCCGCTCTCGCGTTCAGTACAGCGGTGCTGCTGTCGACAGAGTTCAGTTTCCGGGCAACGAGGAAGCGGTTGATGACGCGACGGAAGCAACGTCAGAGTTCCAAGACGCCATGGAGGTGTCTCCCTGCAATGTTGGCAGGGCATCTGCGCGCACCGATTGTGCCATGACGGAACTAAAATAAGCCGCTGAGGAAGCCGCTGGGGAAGCCGCGCCGGAAGAAGACTGAGGGATGGTTCCGGCGGGTTCAGAATGAAGCAGTCACCCGTGCCGCTTAAGCCTGCTCGTTTCGTGAAAGCTGACCCGTAGTGCACCGTAACGTACCCCGGCAACAGGCAACACTCGAAACACGGCTCACCACGGGCGTGGACAAGATGCAGCGGTAGTAGACGCGAGAGGCAATCAGCCTGAAGGGAGAAAGGTCAGGACTTTACGGCGTGTAGCCTGGCGTGCCAGTGACCCGACCTGAACTGCAGCTGGTATGTCACGATGTCGAGGTCGCCAGGTCGAGTTCACGATTCCCCCCATGCGTTTTTGTCTTGTACAGGTTGGGTTTGTGCGGTTGCACTTGCACTTTGTCATTGACTGGTCGGTCGGGCGCCAGGCCACCCCACGGCAGCCTTAAGCTGATGTGTTGCCAGGGAAATAAACATTAAAAATTAAAAAGAATATTTAAAAAATATTGGGTTCCGTAACCAATCCAGAGACCTCCGTGCCCTATGCGGTGTCACTCTGTCCTACTGGAGACACTCCTCGTCCTGATCACTCCGGTCAGGTCGTCCCAGGACAGACCGGAAGGAAAGTGTTATAGTGCTATAGTGCGGTAGTGATATAGTGCTCTGCGGTAGTGTTGACAGGATCCTCGTTCTCGTCTTTAAAGTATCTTCTGTTGCCGCGATTGAACAAATGTGAGATCACTGATGACTACCATTGCTTCCATCATGTTTTCCCATTGAATAGTATTTCGAATGCCCCCGCAGTCTTGATTAGACACGCACTTGTCACTGTTGAGTCAATGTGGGTCAATTTTATCTGAGCCACCTCGCTTAAACGGTACCTTTACTTCCACATAGAGGCAGTCTGTTTGATCTTCCTACAACTTATTTGCAAACCTGGTGCCGTTATCTTGTTAAACCGAGAGCTGAAAGCAAAATCGGGAGACTTCACAAGGTGCGGGGGTATGCGTTCAGACAGAAAATAACGGATATGTTAGCACAATGACGTTCGCACGGCTGGGGACCACAAGATGCACACGCCGCTCTTCGCGTCTGTAATATGAGGACTGCTTTCTTATCAGCCTTGGTGTGTGCCGAACCGTTCTGCGTTGTTGTGGAGCGGACATCAAGTTCTCAAGATCAAAAGATCTCGTCCAGACCTTTCCATTGATGCATTTCTGGGGAAAACGTCCACCCTAGGCATTGCTTGTTGAGTGAGCTCTGACCCCACCATCCGGTCGTAAAATTCCGGGTCAGCGGTAGAACTTCACTGAGAAACCTTAACTTCCTTCTCGACAGCGCGGGGGAATGCGAGCCCTGTCAGAAGGCTTTCTAAGAATGGCTCTCCGGCATGTCGCGCAATCGCGCCCATACTTTTGATAGCCTATGAGGCATTCATTGCGCGGTTTTGGCACGAGAACGTGGCCCTAGCGTTTTTGGTTTCGGAGCAGCAGAGTTTTTTTTTAGGTACGCCGCACGGCGATCTACGGCCTGTGCGGACGGCAACCAATGCGGCCGCGGAATGTGGGCGGCGGGCTGGCATTGACACGGAGCCTTACATCATACAGATATTGCCAAGACATATGAATCTATACGCCACGATACTCAGAATTAAACAAGGTCTACGCCTGCTTAGGTCTCGTGTCGCTGCAAGGCATAGTCGCGTACATATAAACATCTAAGTTAAGCAAAGTCGATTTTCGGAAAAAGTTGAGCTTTGAACTTTCACAATGCGGTCAATTATGTTCTAGCAGCCTGATAACCAATTAAGATTTTTTGTTGCGGCCAATCTACTTGTGCTTTCTGCTAGACTATATCTTTATATCGTGGAAACAGCGGGGGTGGCATCGCCCCCCCCCCCCCCTCTACCATTCAGCGTTATGAAAGACGGCGAATCGGGGAGAGGGTTAATGTGTCACAATGCTCTGCACGCCCCAGCCTGCTCTCTGACGTCATCTGACTATCAGCGCGTCCGCGGCCACCGGCTGCAGGCTATCCCAGGCAGGCGCAGCCAGCGAATGTTTAGAGCGACTCGAACCAGCACCGCCAGTGATGGGAGAATCAGAAGGCAGACGTTCTAACCGACTGAGCTATCGGGACGGAATCACATGCGTTTCGGGACAGCAAACTTAAACTACAGCTTGGCGGTATAGTTTCTACATGGCCGTATTGCAAAAAATGGTGTTAAGGAACTGAATCGTCATGTTTTGTGCAGTGTGCTTCAGCGCGAAAGAAATGTTCAGGTGGTGTTGCCCGAGGTTTGCCGAGAAACGATCTAACCATGAGCACAGTCTCCAAACGTCTGGTTCTCTCTAGACAGCGAATGAGGTCTATAAGGTCGTTTAACTACAATCCTCTGGCATACAGAAGGTCGATTAATTTCAACATGTGAACTCCCAGCACCCACAATGTCAAAACGCCAGGATTTCATAGCCTTTCTCCATTTTGCAACGTCCAACACGAGTTGACGCGTTGGTCGCACTCCTTTTCGAACGGTCAATCTGATGGCCGCACAGTGCCTCTCTATACAGTGCCGTTTCTACCCTCTAAGCCCCCACCAATCGCCTGAACTTCCGTTGAGAGGGTCGTGCGGTTCAGTTTCCTTCCGTTTAGATCTCCTAGCTGCATAGAGCATATTTCCGTGAAAGCATGACCTGTTTTCCATGAAATATGTTCGCGGGAATTGACATTGGTGGGTCTCATATAGGAAGCATGACGATGGCAACTCGGGCATCAGCTTAAAATGCTGCTTGGGTATCTCCAGCGCTTAAACATCTCATAAGTATCCCCGCAAACGCAGATTTACCTGTAAAAAAGTTATCCATTAGTAGATACATATGCATATATATATATATATATATATATATATATATATATATATATATATATATATATATCTATATCTATATCTATATATCTATATATGGATATATAAACCCGGCATACACTTCAAAAATATAAAGTTCTCATAACTTCTGCTACAAAACTTATACCGCCTTTACTGACACGCGACATTACCTTTACGGCAAAAAGCCATGCACGGCATGACTGCTACATGCCAATACGTATATACTACAAAACATGCCCGCAATTACTTCTACAGCAATGACTTATACAGCTTTCATAACATGCGCCATTACTTCCACCGGAAAACCTCATACATGCCAGGAGTTCGACACGACAAAACTTATGCTGCAAAAACATATGCCCGTTATTACTTCTACAGCAAAGACTCGTACATCTGTGAGTATGCGCCACATAGCGTGTACTTAAAACCATGATACGTGATGTGAGTGCTGCACCGCAAATCCTATAATTAAAGAACTTACGCCCTCGTTACGTCCACTGCAAAAACCCATCTAGACAATTCTTGAAGCGATACCATTTCTCGTGTCTACACCTATACGCGACATTTGTGCTGCACGATACAGGTTAAACATAACAAATTATACTTACCAGGACGCCTGCTCGTAGGTGAATCGCCAGCAAAAAAAAGGAAGCAAACAAACAAAAAACAGGGAGAACGAACACATGGCAGCCGTCGATGAAATCAGACCAGTGGTGCCCACCTCAAGTGGTGTAGATACATCAATGCTGCTGCAATAATGTCATCGAAAGATTCACGATGGCAGTAGTTATACGCGACATTTCTTCTACTGAAAATGTTATGAATCAGAGTTGTCGTATAACAAAACAATTCGAGGGCTAAGCACGGGAAAAAGGCCACTTTGACCTCAAAATGCAAAAATCGCGTGGCCTGCCCCGAATGTGATGCCTCACAATCGCCGGATCGAAGGGGTCGCTGATTAGATATTAAACTATACCGGGGGTATGGTGTTCACTAAAATATGGCATTACTTCTTTTGCAATGACTTTTTCAAGGCTGTAGTGCTTTATGACAACAAAATGCTTCGGAAGTGTATGCCCGTCATTGATATTCTGT